CCATTTAATTTTTAAAAAAAAAAAAAAAAAAAAAAAAAGAAAAACTGAAAATGAAAATATTCTTAAAGTTACATGCTACGGTAACCATGATTTTGATTTCGTCGACGACCAATTGTGTATGCAATCAACACGAATACCACTAATATTGATAGTATACAGCCTACTGCTATTGGTACGACATCCGGTGTGTTAAAAGCACAATCTTGAGCTGAAAAATAATAACGCATAATTAGAATTAACGAATATTGATAATTATAAGGATATTAATAAAAAAAAAGATTATACATTATTTTCTTTGTATTTTGAATTAATTTAAGAAAATTTAATAAAATTCAATTTATATCGCGGTGTTAAGGATCATTCGTCGTGTTTTATATTCCTTTATTTGTATGCAAATACAATAATATAGGATGATAAAAAAAAGGGGTTCATAACTTCTACGATAGATAGTACTCGCCAAAAGATGAAAAAAAATCCTAATAGACATAGATTGAAAAATTAATGTTTTCAAAGTTATATATAATTTTTTGTTTCAATTAAAGCGACTGACTTTCTCGCTTCGAGAGTTATCGTACTGTATGGAGACTTTTATTCTTTATCTAATCTAAAATTAAAAGAGGATTGAGAAATTTCACGGCAGCTGTTATATATGAGACTCTCTATGTATCAAATAAAATGCCTTCAAGAACTAACATATAAAAATTTCATTTTCTTATTACCATTAAAAACACTATACAAAAATTATAAATGTCTTTATCTATGTTACTGAACATGTGGAATCGCGAAACCCTCCGACCCATTATGGATGAAATCTAGGAATAGATTTCAAATAGATAAATATCAAAACCCAGAAAGATTACGGTAACAATATGTGTAAAGGCACAAGGCTCTCTAACAGGAAGGTTCCGAAAATCTATGATTTCGAGTCCCATCACCCGGGCCTTCCTTTTTCCTCGATTTCTACAAACATATAATACTTACCTAAACCAAACACAGCAGAATTATCAGCCTTGAATGCTACGAATTCAAGATCCCATAGAATTACGTATCCAGATGTTTCATTAGTGTTATTTTGTTTCAAATCGAGTTTTTGCTGCCTCAGGCATTTATAGGCATAGGATACTCCAACCTCAAAATATGATTTAGTTTCATTCACTAGTACCAGCGATTGGTCTATAAAAAAAAGAAAAAACACAATTATGTGATAGAATGTAACATACAAAGTCAAGTTTCAATAAATGCTACTGATTAAATTATAAGGAATTAAACAAGGATATATCAAATTGCACACAATATTATTATAGTAACTAATTTCTCATTTTTAAATGATTATGGGATCAGATTATGAGAAATATGCAACTTCTTCGTGATAAAGAAAATAAAAAAAATATCTTTTACTGTTTTACAAACTAATTATTCATCTTTATAGTATGTGTCCACAATTATAAAAGTGACCTCCTAGGTCAGAAATCAAACAGATAAAAGAAATAAAGAAATAAAAAAAAAAGAAATACAGAGAAAAACAAAATCCTCTAAATAGTTTCGTATTTTGGTCGTTCTGTTAAACAAAATTTATTTCTTTCTTTTTTTTACGTCGTTATTTCTTCATAACATGATAGTATGTAGACGAGTGATATATTGAAAAAAAGACATATGCAATTGTAAATTCAAACTTTTTCTCTAAATCACAAAATAAAATTATCAAAGTCTTTCACTTGATTTACAGAAAGCACGAAATACCTATGTTTATAATTTAGATTTTTGAACACTTTCACACAAAGGACACGTTTTGATATATTTGATATTTTATCTTTTTTGCAGAAAAGGAAACGGCTAAACACAACCATACGTTTTACAGAGATCTTAGTGTTTGTAAAATGTGTATTGCACTGACTCACGACTAACCGCATAAAAACTTTTCGTCTTTTGCGCTTAAACACAACTGAATCGCAAGTCGAAGTATTATTTTCAGTACCGTAATATATAATAACAAAATTACTTACTTCTGTTTGGAAAATCTGTTGCTTGAAGAGTAAGCTCCAAATGATGTAGAGAATAATGCTTCTCAGTTGCATTTTTCATGAAATGCATAGTCATACTGGCATTAGTTACATTTGTATCGGACCAGGTGAGTGTCAAATTTTGTTCGGTCTCGCCACAATTTCCACTTACATTCACAGTTCTGTTGCCTGCTGGTAGATTGAATGTTTTAAAGGATGGCTGAAAAATTAATTTTGTATTATTTTAGCATTGCTGTAGCCTTAAAAGAATATGCCACTCTGATACATTTGAAAAAAGGGAAAAGTTTGGGAATCTTTTTCATAAGTAATTACTAAATGAAAAGTTTCCTTTTTTCAGAGGATATAAATGTAACTTTCAGCTTCTTCTTCAATTTGTAAGAAGTAAAAATGTTACAAAACGTAGGAGTTATTGCGAAACTTCTTCTGCTAGAACATCAATTGCTGGTCGCCATTCGTCAGCAAGGATTGGAACATCTGAAATAAAATTTCTTTTTTATTTACAAATAAAAATGTATTACCTACAATGTAGTCTATATGATCTTTTTCGATATCTCAATTATTTAATTTTTTGAAAACGTTTGAAGTTGATTTTTCTTTTTGGAAAAGTGGTTTTTCCTCTTCAAACTACCACTATTTCTATAATAATTACAATTTTTGAAAAATCGTACGCTACATTATAGATAATATATTGTTATTTATAAATCGAAAAGAATGTTTTATTTCAGACGTGCCAATCTTACCGGCGTTGACGACCAGCAATCGATGTTCTAGCACAAAAGGTTTCGCAATTAACAAATAAATTCTCCATTTTGTAAAATTTTTACTTTTTAAAAATTGAAGAAAACAGCTAAACCTATTCTTAGACGACTCAGGATGATGTACACCCTTAAATCTTCTAATTATGAGCATTTAAAAACATTAATTGTTATACTATAATATATTACAATGTATATGTTATAATATATAATGCTATATAAACACATTAATTCCATGCAAAAATTTCCAATATTTAATATGATAACACTAAGTGCTGCCATACCAATACAATTTGTTCTTAAACTTCTGATTTTAGCACTATTTTTACATAAAATTTTGTCTATGACTTTGAAATTTCTAAATAAAATTAAAATCATTGATCAAAACTCCATTTTAATAATATGCTTTATTTTAATTTTAGCTTATATAAATGAATTGTCTATTAATACAAACCATTTTAGTGGCATTCACATAAGAGACATTAAAAAATGCAGACATCTGTGCTATGATACAGATTTTATTTGTTCCATTAATTATCCATTTGCCAGGAGAAGAAGCCACCACAGCGGTGTTCACTGGAGCTTGCATAACTGCTGGTTCATTTGTCACATGTGGAATTTGTTCAGTAGATGTTTCAGTCATATTAATTAGAACAGTTGTAGTATCTGGTGGTATAACAGTAGAATGAATTGGAGTGATTGTAGAACTTTGAACAGAACTTGGACTAACTGCAATTTCTTCTGGCTTTGTTTTATTCTCGCCTAAGTCTACAGGAACTGGCACAACTTCTCCAGAAATTATCTTGCTGGAAGAATTTACTGCAAAATGTTGTTGAGGGACATTCTGTGCAGATGTCACATTTGTTGAAAGATTATCAGTCTTGCTAGACAAAACAGATTCTTGGACATCACCTGTTTCAAAAGTAGAACATTCTAATCAGATTAATTGATTATTCACATATTTATTTTCAAATTAACATGAGTTAAGTATATAAAAATATTCTGTTGCTTTTCTTTGCATGATTGTAGACTTATTTCTAATCAAGTTCCACTTCAATCCTGAATTTCTTCTGATTTATTGTAGGAATATAGAACTATAAAACATTTTCATTCTAAAAGAATTTGAATACTTCTACATGCAAAGTAAAGCTATAAAAATATTCAATCATAATTGCAACACCAGCAGACAAAGTGTCCATTTTAGATGGAAACGGTCGAATATGCCATAAGTAATTGATTTGTTTGGTATGGAATGAGACATTATAATAGTAGAAATAGAAGGTTCAACAGTAGGAGAGATTTTAAGGTCTACCTAATTTTTTTAAAGCAAGTGCTAGATTTTATTATTAGTAATATGATAGCATTTATTGAGGCATGTTCAACGACATAAACACAAGTGTTTGATGTTGCCCGTGGTAGTTACAAATTAACTTTCGAGCCTTATCGAATTTGCACGTGGTGTGCCGACTAAATTTACTATGTTCGTTTCTCGAAGGACCACCCCCGTGTTTCGGAGGACAAATAACTATTAACAATGACTATTTTCTTGACTAGATTCTGTCGATCGAGGGCTCGGACAATTTCCAAGACACCTCGGATACGAGCCTTCAGCGAGGGTGAGACACGCGGGTTGGTCAACTACAATTTTGAACTCGACAAGGAAGGTGGTTGAATCTAACGCGACTGGCAATCATTAGGTACCGAAACCTAACTAAGGTGACGCCCCCAAGTCAACGGTCACTCTCAAGTGCCCGTGCACCCTTCGACGCTAATGAAGCATGGTCAAATAGAAATCAAAGGACTAGAAAGCTAAAGTATGGCAAGCAGATGTGCACAATGGCCATAGAAAAAAAACATCGAAATTCAAAGTGAAAGTGAAATGCTCGATGGCATCCCAAGTTTATGACCGCTGCGAAAGACCAGGGAATTTCCAGACCGGCGTCTGGAAACGTAATAATTCTAACGACTTAACAACAAGTAAGAGACAGCCTTGAAGTGACAAGTCACCGATTTTGACGAAAATAGTATTAGGTAGTTCTGAAAAAATATTCCAAACATATTCGTTTTATTGGCAACTGTCATCCCACAAGTAATATCGCTTCTTATCTGGGTCGATGAAATTCTATACTGTGTTTATGCAACGTATGTATACAAAGTCTTTCGATACGCATTCGACAGAGCAATGTTTCTTCAGCTCAAATCAAATGTTAAAAGTGTTCAGGTCATTCTTTTTAACGTCAGAAACAATTTAAAAATGTATGTCACTTAGATCTATTTGTCGCATTGTATGTTTTATGAGTTTAATCGGCATCCGAAACAGAGTCACGATTCTTCTCTTTTTATATTATAAATGTTTGTTATTTTAATCATAATATATTTGTACAATTTTAAACAATATAATGCCTAGTGAAATAAAAAAATGTAATTTTTCTTACGTATGAAAAATTTACGCATGAAAAAATTGTCATGCGTGTGACTATCAAGCCAATTAAAGGACCAAAACATTGGCAATACAAACCACTTAAAATCAGCATTACATCAATTTATTAATTCAAAACATGACATTTTTTGAAAAAGAAATTAAACATTTGCCTAAAAGATAGGAAACGATATCCACAGACAACAGTCAATATATAACCACTAAAAGTATGTGTAAATATTATTATTTTTCTATTAAAAACTGGGCGTCCAAAATGGTATTACTTATGGCATGACCTAATACATTCAAGAAGTGAAAATTGGTATTAAATTAGGAGTAATAAACTTATTTGGTCTAATAGAGATTTTGTATTTTTAAACGATGAATTTATCTGCATAAGCAATTTGGAAACAGTCCATTTGTTTACATAATATATAAAAAATTATTATTTTTTCAATTTTTTTTGTTAAATGTTTATTCATCTAGCCTAGGTCTATTCAATTTACATAAATGCAAACCACTACATATGCAAGCCCCGTTTGGTAGATTTCTTAGACTTCAATCCGGAAGTGATGAGAAGTGTACGGGCTTCAATAATTGAGCCGTTTAATCTCGAAAGCGCAACCTTCATTTTGTTTTGTACAGAAGTGGTGTAAGTATATCTCCATCAGTTTCTCGATGGATGGTAAAGTAAGTAAAAACCACCCATTCGAATGACATCGACACTATATGCAAGAATGGTGTAAGTCAGTCTTTGGTGTGAGGTAAATGACATTGGGCTTCTGGATATCGAACAATAAGTGAGCGATGCATAAGAGCTTAACGTTATCGCTATCCACAAAGTTTCTGTGTCATGCTCATTATTATTTTCCGATTTAAATTCGTGACAATGTAAACCACGTTTTATATATTTTATTCATTTTTTTTAAATAATTTGTTTGATAATTAATAAAGCAGTAGAAACATGTCTACTTCAACAAACAGATCCCTTTTTTATTACATCTAATAATAATTATCTTCCTCATTTGCACGAAAATGATGTGTCAGAAAAATATTGAATAAAATGATTATACATATATCTTGATTTTTGGGACAAAATTGCATTATTAGCTTAAGGTATAACTATACAGTAGCTTACGTAAAAGAGATGTAACATTCTTTCATATTATTGAATTTTACAGAACTTTTACTTTATCCCTCATTATCCAGAAATCAACTTTTTTGACTTACACCACCACTTCGGGCATCTCTTGTTACGAAAGAATCGTTGGTTTACACCTTTATTTAACGTTAAATAACCTTGTACTGTAAGTCATTAAAACCGTGTTAAACATAACCTACTTTACTAGGATTAACAAAGTATAGTATACTATTTAAAAAAATATAGATGACTTTAAAATCTCCAACAACCCTCCACCCACAGAAAAAAATATTACTAGTATATTATGGCCACCTTGGTAAACCACAATTTTAGTAAATAAAGTTTTTTCGTATCTCTAAAAATAAGAGAAATACTACGAAGTTATTGCTCGCCCTGTATGAGCCATTTCACGTCAAATCGCACAGAATTGCGACCATAGTCACCGAAAAACTAAACTGTGTAGAATTTTAGCTTTCTAATTCAAACTGTTTTCGAACTATTCAACGTTAAAGTTTTGAAAAATTAGACAAAATCAGCCGACACATCATTACTGTACCTACAATATTTTGACTCTGTCTAAAGATAATGCTTTAATCTTGTGCTCATTTTAAAGCTAAAGAAATACTCTTTCCGAACATGTATATAAAATTTTATTTATTATTGGCAAACATAACAATAATCGCTGCTAAAGTTCCAGCTGCTGATTTCACGTTGTTCCCATCCATAGAACAATTGGAAAAAAATACCATTGGATTCCTTGAACTTTAGCCTGTAAAATAAGCTTTTCAAAATGATGGAAAGAATTCGGGAACATTGAAAAACAAAATAAATAAATAAAGTTTACCATGACGCACGTCGTTTGGCGCCGCGCAGACACCGTTGACTATGGACAGTGCCGCGCATGCGCACCGCATACAATGTATCACTTTTGCATTACAGATATGTATCTCGCGGGAACACTTCTGGAATTTGTCTTTATCGCTTATCGCAACGCGTGCAATAACGAATATTGTTCAGGAAAATAATGTACTATCACTCATAGATAGTCCTTTTTTTTTTTGGTGGGAACAGCGTCAAATCAGCAGTTGAAACTTTAGCAGCAATTATTATTATGTTTGCTAATAATAAATAATATTTTATATACATACATATTTGGAAAGAGCATTTCTTTAGCTCTAAAATGAGCCCATGATCAAAGCATTAACTTTAGACAAAGCTGAAATATTACGGTTAAAGTGATGACATGTCGGTTGATTTCGTCTAATTTTTCAAAATTTTAACATTAAATATCTCGAAAACCGTTCGAGGTAGAAAACTAAAATTTTACACAATTTAGTTTTTCTCGAATTTATCAACAAGTCCTGCGAGTTTGAAAAAATCGGTGACTATGACCGCAATTCTCTGCGATTTGATGTGGAATGGCTCGTATGTACATATGTACATATATTCAATACAGAGTTTTACACCAAATACAACGTTATTTTTACAATATACAGGGTGTGCCATAACTACTAGTGCAACCGTGAAAGGTGTGATTCTACATGAAAAAATAAACCGAAAACAGAATAAAATTTTTTCAAGAAACTTGAATCTAAAGATTCGCTACAAACTGTTGCTCCCGCTCATACTGTTATGTTGATAAACAGTGGTATGTTACATTTCGTAAAGGAATAGTCTACGCAGTAGATACTGTAAATTTTCTGCAACTAAAATGTAATTTTGCAATTAAAGCATCAAAATACCATATCATCAGTCCACGATTCTCTGATTTAAAGAGCAAGGATTTGTATGTGTTATCAAAGATGTTATTTTCAACAAATTGTTCAGTAGTGTAGATTTAAATTAAAGAAATTGTTAATAACTGTTTTATAGGTATTTTTCATGACATTGGCATCGCTAATTAGTATAAACATACAACCGAGAGAGAGTTAAATGCACGCGCACTCGATGAACATTTAAATTCAATTGTCTCGAAAATTGAGCTTCTTATTAAAAAATATTGTCCTATATTTTCAGATTATTTACTTATGTAGAATCACCCCCTTCACGATTATACCACAAGTTACAGAACATCCTGTATATATTTCATTAGACAGCGCATTTTGACTAAAATACTTCAATTGATACTATTCAATGCTGGGCAAAATTTTTCGAGTTTTTCTACCCTCTCTTTTAAGCCTTGGGGATAATTTGTTTGCATTACTTTAACAATTTTATGATATACATAACGCAGCCCCTTTTATGCCTAGTTTCTTGTTCAAATTTGTATATGATGTTACTTGTACGAAAACTTTAACAATTTATTGTGTGAAAACATCGCTTCAGCGACATACGGTTCTTTATTGTTACGAACAATTTAACAGCAACATTTTTAACAAATCTCTATCAATATTAAGGTGGAGATTCACTCCTGAAAGCCGTGTCATGATTAATTTTTGCACCCTGTACATTACTAACACAAAATAGTCCGATTGGAGCCACGTTTCGATTCATTTTTACCAGGAAGATCTTGTCAATCCATTAAAAACATTTTCCTTAAATTATAATTATAAAAATTTCATTTTTGTACATTGTACTAATGACTGATTGTTTATCGACTTCGACCATCGAGCACAGCTAGTGGAAGGATCGCTCTCTTGAGGCAGTTCCAAGAAATGGTGAGAATAACTCCGGAACATTTATCCAAGAATTACTATACTATATTACATGTATACATATACAGGGTGAGTCACCTAAAATTAGAACTTAAAATTTTTCCGTTGGTTTTAATAATACGAGAAAATATCAAGGAGATAAATATTTGTTAGGAAGAGGTAGATATTATAACAGAAGATTTTTTTCTCGTGGACATATTTTCTAGGCTTCTAAGTTTATTGACGTTTCCTTAAATAGAAAGACATATTTTTATTACTTAATATTGTAATCGAAAAGAATAGAAAAATTCATGCATGGATGGATTGATTCAGGGGGGTTGAATAACTTTCTGATGAGTAATTTTCATAAAACAATAATCTAATGTACAGAGATAACGAACATTTGGAGCACATTCTTTAAATAGATAAATATAAAACATATAACAATAACAAAAACATGTTTGCATGTCACTTGCAAACTAAAGACAATTTTCAATGGTACTGTAATGTTTAAAACAAAAAACTCATCTGTGGTATCATTAAAACCAATGGAGAAATTTAAGATTTTAATCTTAGGTGACTCACCCTACACATTAACTACATATATGCATATATGCATATGGTACAGTATAATACGATGACGAAGATTACGAAAAGAACAACTTAAAAAACATAAATCTTTCCTTATCATCAAAATTATCTGCATTTATTATATCTCATACAAAAACATGTACTTTTATTTGTTTTTACAAAATATTATAAATATTAATAATT